AATAAAAGACTCCTGGAAGTCTGTGGATCTTTTACTGTCTCTTGACTTCCTGTCCTATGCTGTTGCTTAGTCTTGCAACAAGCATTGGTTTTTTGCTGTGTTCCACTTCAGAGGCGGCTGCATTTCAGTGATGTCTTTTCAGTGCCTGCATTTCATTATATGGGGATGTACTGCCTGGCAAATGAGCCCTGACTGGGGCTCTAAGCATTACGCCAATGTGTATACAAACACTACTGAAGTGAGCTTTTCCAATATATTGGGCATGTCTACAAGTGCCAATTAATGCACACAACTGAACTCCAAAGCTTATTGCCCTGGACATTATTCATATGCAGCACATGGAGCCTGGTCAGAGCAGTCCGGGCTGGCAGGGGAGCTGTGGGGGGGGATCAGCCTGCCAACCCAGGGTTTCTCTGACTGGGCTCCATGTGCTGCAGAGGGTCTGGCTGAGGCACAAGGGTGCTTTAGTACGGGGGCACTGAAGCACCCTGTACCCCAGTCAGCTGGGGTAGCACCTACATATGTGCTGCTGCACACACAAAAAAACTCTGCAGCAGGACAAGACCTCACCCGCTGCAGTTTATTCCTTTTGTGCTCCCTAACGGGGGTGCACGTGTAGACACCAAGGTGTTTACTGTGCAGTTAATCGGTCAACTGCTCAGCAAGCGTCCCATCTAGAAGCACCCATTGTAAAGTACTTTGGGCTGAAAGGCAACGTTATAAACAAAGCCCTTGTACCACTCGCACTCCTGACAAGGCAACGCCTCTGTAATTGCTGCTTTCCTGAGATGCCCATTTCAGAATGGTCAGCCCTGTATCAAACCACTGGGACACCTCCATTCCGCAAAACCTTTGTAAGCACCAATGGTGGGGTTTCCTGCACCATCAGCAAAATGACCTTGCTCCTGTTTCCCAAGGGGCAGGTTTCAGAGTCCTGAAAACATGATTCACACTGCCCCCCATGCTGAGCTGATGCCCTCTGAGCAGTCCCATCTGCCTTTGTTATTACATTATGATCCCTACTCTAACATTTCCCTGTCCTGGCGGCACCTAATCAGCGTTCTGGCTTTCCAAGAAACCTCCATTTTTTGTTTTTATGTTGCTAAGAGGTCTCCAGTAGTGCACGATATGCTTGTGGGTACCCGGTTAAACCGTTCTGGGTAATGAAATCTTAAGATATTGCACCTGATGACTTTCCTTGAGCACTGAACCCTTTCTTTGTTAATGAAGCATATTCGGTACCTTGAAGGCAGCCACCCAGCAGTAGTTTGTACATGGCCAGTAATACAAGTTTAATCAATGTTTTGGGCCACTTCTCTTGTATCAGTTGCAAAAGGGAACGTTTTTATAGCAGCCTGAGGCAAAGCCTCCCTGCACTGCTGGGCGCTACTTACTCCTTCATCACGGGCACAGCGGCCGTGCCAGGCTGCTCTGTGTAGCTAGTTATGGAATGTGCCTGACTGGCAGCAGCCGCTATCAGAGCACAGGGAGAGACCCTGGGTCAGCAGCTGAGACCCAGGCTGGTTTGTTCAGGCTAAGGTAGAGGGCCCTGAGCAGGATCTGATGCCATTTGTGGATGGCATTACGACTTCAGTGCGAGGGCTGGAGCCTGAAGGCTAATGCAAAGCCAGTTGCCACGGGCTGTTCCTGCCTCTGGCTGAAGTTAGGACCCTGGTGAAAGCTGGCTGGAATGCCTGTTCTGTGTCAGCAGAAACAAGACTGCCTGCCCAACATTAACCCTGCCAGTTAATTTGGTGCTCAATGCCTTTTTGTTGCTGTCGATTCGTTTGTGACAATGCCCTGTGTTTGAGTCTCGGCCCACAAGGCACAGAATATTTGCACCGTTTGCTCACTAGCATAGACCTTCCCCCCGCCCCAGCCTGCCACCCCCATGCGATACCTTGTTCCACCTCCCTCCCCTGCAGCTTCAGAAATGATTCTGTGCACAGTCCAGTCAGGAAGTGTTTGCTGCAGCTTCCCAAAGGCCATTGTCTGGCAAAGGCTTACGTGCCTCGAAACTTTCTGCATTTGAACAGCATCATTCTGCATCTGAATGGTGAAAGGAGTGGGGGAAAAGGGAAGTGTGTTTAAGGGGAAATAAAAACCTTGGTCAGGGTACAGCTCTACATTCAACAGCAGATTGGCTGAAGATGGAGAAACTATGCCTTTGAATCAATCCCTCTGCCTGGGCATGTTTTTTTTTTACTCCTTCTCATAAGTTGACAGGAAAAAAAAAGGAAAGGGGACTTAACTTACAGGGATGGCCAGGCCGTGAATACATTTCTACTGACATCAGTGCAAGGCTGGGTGATAGAAGGTTCTTGGTGGCTTTACTACCTCGTTTCACACTTGCCCTGCCCTTGTGTGTCAAAACTTCTTTGTACAAGGCGCAAGCTGCACATACACCTTACAAACCACGTCTGGGACTGCCTTGCGAGCTATCAGGGAACTCCAGAAGATGGGGATGCAGGTTTTCGTTTACTCCGCAGTCCTGGGAAACCCCAGCTCAAGCATTCCTGGTTAGAGCAGAAACCTGTGCGTTCACAGCACTGACCCCAGTGAAGACAAGCATCACACGCTAGTGGTCAGGCTGCTACAAACTGTGGGTGTAAGATATGCACATAGTGCACATGTATTTCTGGGCCTTAATCTTCTTCCTGCCCTACTCAGCCTTATTTGACACCTCTTCCCTCGGCCCATTCCCACCTCTTCTCCATCTCTTGCATAAAGACAGTTCTGTTTTCATACTGTTGCTATTGTCTCTAAATACAAAATTCTAACTTTGATCCAGATGCAAGCACCAAAGGTCCCATTTTGGTAATGAGCAATTTCCTTATAAAGAGAGATTGGAGCCACTTGCGAAATTCAGATTGCGCTACTGTTGCTTTCACTTTCCTGACGACCCTTTTTGTTTTTTTGGTCTATGTCTCTAATTAGCAATGTTGCTAATCTAAGAAACAGCAGGAAAGGCCCCTGCTCATGGTGGGGGATCACTGCCCTGTTTCTCCCATGCCTACAGCAGCTCAGTCCAGTCTGCTCAAATCATTAGAAACCAGCACACTCCTAGGATTTAAACCTTTGCAGTCTGGATTCTCATGTGGACTTGTTTATGACTCAGGTCACAAGATAAATCTCTCCCTGTGATAGTAAGTGGTGGGGTGTTTTTTGTTTTGCTTTGCTTTTTAAGGTTAGGGGAAATTTTCCAGCAACATCACAGCCTACAGAGCATGTCCATTTAAGTAAGAGCAAGTGCAGAGATAGAATGCCCGCCTGCTGCTATCAGGCCGAACAGAAATTTTTCCAGGAACTATCTAGTAAAACACATGACTCTTCGAGGCCCTCTCACCCCCACATAGATACGTGACAGCCATTTACTGGGCATGATGCACCGCAGTCAGTTGACTTTGTTATTCAAACTATTTTACTGATGATTTTTAATCCAGGCTTAGGTTTTTTTTTTTTTGAACAAGGGAACCTCTACGTTGGCAGGATTGAGGGAGGCACAAAGGAAGGGAAAGCTAATTCCAGCCAGAAAAATAAAAACAGATGCTGTTAGCATTCCTCGTGTCACAGGGGTGAAAACATTACCATGCACTTTATCTTAAAGGGTAAAACAGCAGTAAAAAACCAAGTCCACTTGGAATAAAAATACTTTCTCTTTCCCCCTTATGGCTAAAGCCTACATGACCCTAGCTTGAAGCTAACAGAGCTTGGTTCTTCTCTGGGCTTTCCCTGAGACCTCAGAGGGAACGCCACCATGCTGCACAAAGTGATGGTGGAGAGGCAGTAGGAAGTGCTCTGTCCTCTCAGTCAAAAGCAGGGGGGCTGGACGCAATGATCTTGTAAGGTCCCTTCCAGCCCCTAACACCTATGAAAATAACGTCCAGGTTTCCAGCATGATGGGCATCATACAAATGGATGACATTGCCAAATGAGATCCTGGCTGTTGGTCCTCCATCTAGCTTCCACTGGTACTTTTGTGCGGTCCTAAAGCCAAACATTCACGCTAGATCCATTTGTCATCTAGGATACTCTTACTTTCTTTCTGTAGTAACTTTGCTATGCAACGTTAATACACTGTGTTACGTCTCCTCGGCTGCAGGCAAAGCATCCTTAGCTAGTTGACGACTGATACAACTGCACGCAGAAACCTGACATTTGGATGTGCCAATGGGAGTGCTGTCAAGGCAAAAAAACATTTTTTTAAATGGGTGCTTTGGGTTTCTAATAGCAGCGGCAAATGACTCCACTTGCAGAAAGGTTAATATCCGTCCCACAGCAGATACAACTCCAGCAGACCTGATGCTCAGTCCGCTGCTCTAATCACAGGATCTTGTTGCCGTCTGCTAAACAGCGTTGTACAGCTCTTCATTTCCTTTATCCAGTCTTAGTTCTGAAAAAGTAGTTGCATGTTTCTCTTCTGATGGTAAGACTGGGGCTGCTTTCTTGAAATGAAACCATGTCTTTTTCCTTAATGATCACAGTAATTATTCCAGTGTACACAGCTAGTGTCATACAGAACAAGCAGCAGTTTAAGGTAACATGTTTCGAAGCAGGTTGTCAACAAAGTACTTCTTGCCTCCAGAAGCTGTTCAGGACTTTGACATATACAGGCCACAGGCACCTCTTTAGCACTACAAAAATGGCACAAGCATTACAAAAGCATCTGTTTGAAATGGGAACTATGACACAGCAATACCTTCTGTAGTATAACCTCTAAGGGGGGGGGAAGGGAGGGCGAGCTTCTGACTCCATGACAGCCTGCTGGTGATCAAAGGTACAACCCAGCCAGAAGCGGGGGCTGCATCTCTGCTTACCAAGACAAGCTGTCAGAGCCTGCGGCTGCCCTGGATGGGGGCACTTCGCTCTCCCTAGTCACTGTACAGGGCAGCCTGGCACCTAACCCTGTTCTGGATCAAACGCCTTCTTCCCCCAGGTCCTGCAGCACCAGAACAGACACAGATGCAAACAGTTTGGACTTGCACCTTAGTAATCTGAATGTTACAGATAAAATGAACCAGCTCACTGAACTCACGCTGGGCTGAAAGGCACATTTTCCCGCCCCAACCCCCCCCGCCCCAATCCCTATAATACTCAGTCAGAGCTTCTCCCAGCCCTCGGTT